AGATGCATTTCCAACATACAAAGAGAAAATGACAAATTAGCATTAGCCATTTCCTTTAAGTAACACATCAAGACGAAGGCAGGACACCATACCTTCTTGTGTTGCCCAAAGTATTATGGTAGAAATGGCATCCATTCACTATGACTTCTACTTCCGAAGAAGATTATATTTCAGTGAACATCCATATAATTGGTAATTTCACCGAAGCATTGATTAGAAAACTTAGATACAACTTTGATGAAGAAATGCAACTATACATAAAAAAGAAAAAGAAAAAAAGAAAATGTTTACCTCTCAACAAGTCGCCAGTCCTGAAGGTCATACTGGTGCTGACGATCACAAAAGTCATGTTGCTGAAAGAAGCAAGGGACGAGTTTCTAAAAAGAAAAAAGGATTATTCAGTAAAAAGAAAAGAATGGCGAAAAAACCAATGGCAGAGAACCAAACTTATCAATGAGACTTCAGTAGCTTATGCCAGGGATGATAGATATCACTGAGAATTAAGAAGAACCCGTGGATGGCGAATTGAATGTAAAGCATAGAGCTAGGGAAGACTGGTAAGAAAAAGTTAGAAGCCAATGGTAGAATGTCACAAAAGAAAGAAAACACCGCAACTTACCAAATTGCACCAAGACCAATGACTAGAAATGCTGAAATACCATTATGATCCTGATCACAAAGTTTACCTTATGAAGTTGGATAATGTATACTTAGAATATATATGCATGCATATATATTCAGAATGGCAAGAAATGTCTAAATGCTTTGACAAGCCTCCACAACAAAATCAATCACTGGTATCAGATTCAAGTTTATACATGACCTCAGATGTGACATCTCGATGCTGCCATAATCGTGATCATGATTGCACATTCTTCCCACACAAGAAATCATGAATGGATCCAAAGTTTTACTGAATGTCTATGGGTCTTGACTTCATTCATATAAAAGAAGCAAAATACAGTTATATCTTATTTATATCCCCACTTTGGGATCCGAGATTTTTGGGGATATATCTGAGGTTGGGATATAACTGAGATATAGCATTTTCATAAATAATATTGTGCAATTTTATTGGTTAATAAATTCCATTAGTGAAGTTTGGTGTTTTGACATTTCTACTGTTTTATCTAAGCATTTAATTATATTGCGGATATATCTTATATTACTTTCTGTTATAAATTCTCTTTGTTCTAAAAACTTCCTGGCTGTCACAAGTGTTTTCCTTTTTACCTTTACAAAAATACTTGCTTCTTCTTCCTCACTTGAATTTTCCATATCTATTTGTGTCAGATATAAGACTCCTTTAGTCAAAAGAATTTCTTCAATAAGTTTATCATTTGTAGATAACTTTGTACTAATCAAATTATTATCTATCTCAATATATTTATTTGCTGTTAAACTATTGTTACTGCCTTGGGAGAGCAAAATAAGAAATGTGCCAATTTAGACTCACAGTGAACAGTGTATTTTTATAAAATACAAGAAAATAGAAACAAAATAAAGAAAAAGAAAAGAAAAGATTCAAAGAAATGCCAACAGAAATCAGAAGAAGATGAAAATTCACAATTTAGTATATTGAAACTTTCAGTCCCTCGCCTGACAGACTCCAAAACCACTGATAAA